ACAGGGCACCTGTGACGGAAGGTTGTCCAAGCTGACCCCATTCCAGCGTTGGCTGCATCATCTCAGATTTTGCAGTATTTGTGTTTTGCGTTTTCTTTTTCTGAAAGTAGTTTTTCCCCTGGTCAATAGTTTTCAATATCTGATGAGCCACAATCTCTCTCCCTCTCTCTCTCTCTCTCTCACTTTCCTACTCTCCTGCTCACTCTCCTCTCCCCTTCAACTCTCTGTTTGTCTCTCTCTCTGTCTCTGTCTCTCTCTCGCATGTGCACACACACACACACACACCCCCCAGGTTCTTCACTCTGGAATACTATCACATATTAGTATACCTCCTTCTGCTCTCTGGCTTGGACCCCAACCAGGGTACAAACATCCCTCTGCAAATTTTAACCACACAGATGATTGAACTTTCTTTGGAATGCTAGGCAATTCTAGTTCCACCTCTGCTTCCAAGGGCCCTACGTCAAGCTCCTCAAGACGACATGTGGATCGTGGCCTGGTAAAACCCTACCTGGCTCCAATGGAAACGAATCTCAGAACTACTTGGCTGAACTTCGGGATGTTTAATTAGCCAAGTTTTTCACTGCCTTGTGCTTCGGCAAATAAGCAAATTCATTCCTATCTCCTGTCCTTCAGCTCAGGAAACCCTGTGAATGCTTTGTTTTCCATGCCAGTGAGATTCCCCCTGTTCATCGTTCCAGAGCCAGGATTGTGCACCAGGCCACCAAATCCCTCAGAGATCTCAGGGACAGACAAACCCAATGAGGATTTCCCCCAGGCTTTCCCAAGACTTGGACTTTTATGATCGTTTAAGGAATTGCAGAAAGAGTCTGTAAACTCGTTTGTCTTGACTACCTGTCCTTTTACTAACGAAAGCCCATTTGGACCATCCTGCATCCGATATGCCCGTGCCACCATTCTTGTCACTTTTAGCATCCATTTGACCAGTTCATCAAGTGTCACTTGTGGATAAAGTTGTAGATGAGAGAGCTTCTGGAATACCTGCCTCTGGCAGGCGGCTCCTGATTAGAGCACCGTCGGACCAACCCCCACGCCTCATTCCTCTTTTGCAGGAGGACAGAGCCTGGCTGTGGAAACAAGTCCACCCATGACGCTGGTTATTCACACATTAGAGGCATTAAAAAAATATTGTAACATCCGCACAGCTACGTGGATTCGGTTTGTGCCCGTGAAGCGCTCACGTGTTCACGCTCTGACACTCACTGTCTGTGTGACCTTCGCAGAACGTGTTTAGCCTCTAGGAACCTCACTTCTCCCAGAGGCGAAATGGCCCTAACAACAGGGCCAACAACAATGGTCCTGAGTGATAAATAATGAATGCTGTTATAAAGATGAGATGAGATCACAGACACAGAGCACCAGATTCCGGGGTCCAACACACTACTTGCGCAATACACAGCCATGTCGGC